CATTCTATTTCCTTATCATGTAACATATGCTATAGATTCGGGGTTAGACTTGTGAATGTATACTTGCATATGTTACCCTTCTGTCCAAGTAATTGGGATTAATGGAAGATAATTATTTCATCATGTATTGTCATTTAACTAACGAATTATATGGGTTATTGTCATTTATTTTGGAGCATTACATTTACTATGAATGAACATTCTATACTCTTGTATCATATATTTAGATGACATTCATGGATCAGGCCCAAACAGAAGCATGGAGATTTCGTCCAACGACTATTTTTTTACTATAAAAGGACGGTGAAGAAGAGAAAAGACATAGAATTGAAGTGGAGAAACATAAAATTTGTGATATTCAAGAGTTCTCAAAATATTGTGTGGTGTGTTTTTGTTGAGTTATGATTCTTTTTGAGAGAGAGTTTATTGAGGAATTGAGTGTTTATTGTAAAAAGGTTTGATATCCGTATTCTTACATTCTTGTAAAAACAATAAAATTTTTGTGAGTGATTTTTTGATAAAATTCCTGGCGTTAAGTGTGACTAACACCGAATTCAAAACTAGTTGGTTGGAGTGATTGGGGTTGATTGATTGTTAAGGTTCACTATAACACCTATGAAGCTAGGAGTGCAAATACTATTTAACGAATAGTGAAGAAATCTCAAGGAAGATCTTAAAGAGCGAATATAGGCTTGGTTTGAGCCAAACCACTATAAAATATGTGTTTGCTATCTCTTCCCTTCGCTTAATTTATTTTATTAGTCTCATTTATATTGCTTCATATTTTTTATTTCTCATTCGGATTAAATCTTAATTTATTATTCTCATCTTTATTGTTTCGTATCTTTATTTTTATTTTTTTGTGTTAAATTATTAATTTTATAATTTATTTAGAAATCCAATTCACCCCCTTCTTGGGTTGCTTTTTGGGTAAATTTTCCTATAATGTGCAAGTGCACATTGTAACATCTCCCATAAATTTTTCAGAATACCATTACACTGAAATTATATTTCTTGGAAAATAGAAAAATTAATGAAGTCATGATTTTTCTAATATTTTTTGGGCTTTTATTTATTTATTTTGGTTGAAGAAATAGGTAATGATGTTATGGTACACATCACTTATGTTGCTTCTCTGATCTTGTAGCATTATATTAATCTTATGATAGTATTTCATACGAATAACGTATTGCTGTGTTATTGTAGATTAATCAGCTCGTAAAGTTGATTAATGAAATAAAACAGTTAGATAAAACCTCAATATACCTCATTCAGACATTGTAAAATAGGGTATACCTCTTTTTGAGCAGGTCTATCAATTTATTTTTTTATATTCATTATAAAATGCTATCTACCTATAATTTTTATTTTTGGAAAGTCATGTGATACATTTCTCTGTTGTGATGACTAATAGTAAGTCTACTGCAATTTTGCTAGGGATTTGGGAGGTAATAACAGCAGCTTAGCTGGCCGCGATCATATGTATTTGTGATTGGTGAAAGGTACCATACGATAGTGCCGTGTGATACCCCAATATACAATAATTTTCAATGTATAAATTGGTCATATCCAAAATAAATGTGGTCCATAAAAATAGTATACATTCTTTAAAATAACTTTCCTTGCTTTGTTGTATTATTGATATAGATTGACTATGTTAAAAATCAACCTAATGATATTCAAGATTACATTGATAGATCCAGTTGTGACAAACACAATCCGCTAACCAATTTCCACTCTCCCCATAACCGATTTGAAATATGCTAAAATACCAACAACTGGTGCATTTATATACGTGGTCGGCTCAGAGTGAGCAGGATCAGCTCGAGAATCGTTATATGAATCATTGATATCAGGGCCTCCAACAATAGCACCTATTAGCAAGTTGGGATTAGGTCGGTTGCTTGCAAAATATGACCTTCCATCTTCACAGTTGATGTGCTCTGGATGTTTATCAATGGAAGGTAATGAAGATCCCCTATGATGGATATACCTAGGGAACTTGTTGCCATATCCCACCATGTATGACATACCTGACGGGTTGTTCCCCAATATATAATCCACCTGCATCAATACATATATTAACTTTGGTAAGCTTTTTATGTTGGAAAATTATTTAGTTCTTGCATAGCATCATTGGAACATGAATATGAAGAAGAAAATGAATGAAACTGCTTTTATCTTTTACCATGACCAAAAATTGCATAGAATTTGGGGTTAAAACGATAATTTCTCGTATGAATACTCAAAATTATTAAACTGGGCTAATGGGATTTTTTTAAAATGTGAGCAACATAGGTAAAACTAACAAAATTTTGAAAAGGTCATCATAAGATTATATGAACCAGCCTAACACATCCGCAGATCATCACCAATTCAACATGACAAAACAAACATTTTGCTCCGCAAGGTTCTCATAACCAAAATCACCTATGAACAACTCGAAAGATGGCTGGAGTGTATAAATTAACCACAGAATCAACAGTAGAAGCCTAGCAGATCGCTACCAGCCAGAAAACCAGTTCAGAAGCAGAACAACACATCACCCACAGATCACTAATTCCAAAAAACCAGTTCAGCAGCAGAACAACAGATCACCAACAGATCACTAACAGGATGGGCTAACAACAAATAACTCTACCATCCACAGATCACCACCAACAGATTGCAGTTCATTGACAGATTAGATTAGTAACAGAACAAACAGTAGCAGAAACACCAGTGTGATAACATCAGCAGACGAAGACAGAGCAGACCAAGAATGCTGCAACTGATACTCAACAACACGGCGATAGATTTCTTTTAAACTGAATAGCATAGCCTGGTTTGTCTCCAATTGAGAACCACGTCCTCGACTGTGAAGGGGAAATCCTTAATAGAAGCTTTAAGCCAAAGAGCCAATCTGATCTTAATAAGTTCCCACAATTCTGCAGAATTAGGATGAGCATCTCTAAAAACACACTCATTCCTAAGTCTCCAAAGGGACCAGAGTACTACCAATGGGATCGCTCCCCAAAATTTCCTGAGTGGGTGCTTGAATTTCTCTCCTATCCACCAATTGAACAGAGCTGCTACAGATTGTGGGATACACCAACAGAGTCCCCATTCATATAACACAGATGACCAAATGGTCCAAGAGAAGTGACAATGAAGCAAAACATGAGAAACAGATTCGGGGGCCATTTTGCAGAGAGGACATAATGGAGAAACATTGCTACCTAAGATACCAATATCGAGCAGAAACACTGCTGTTTTAACTCTGTTTTTCCATGCTAACCATCCAAAGAAATGTACTTTGGGAGGTAAGATATTGCTCCAGATGAATTTGCTGATGTTGAGGTGTGGCCCAAGGAGAGAATTACAGAGAGAATATAAGGAAGACACAAAGAAAACACAAGAACCTGAGGCCGCAGAAGACCACACCATGCTGTCGGCACTATTGAGGCTCAAGGGGGGGCAGAAGATAAGATTATAATCAACTTAGCTTCAATGGCCTCTTTCCAGGCATACAGGATTCTTCTATATGGAAAGTTCCAAACTGTAGAGCTGGTTTTCCTGGCATAGAATTGTTGGAGAGAACCATTCTTATCAACAGACAGATTGAAGAGAGAGGGGAACTCATCCTTGAGATGGGCAGATCCACACCACTTGTCATGCCAAAATCTGATACGACTACCATCCCCAACCTTGATTTGGCAGTTATCCAAGAAGAATTGAAACGTATGTGAACTATGTACTCTTATAAAAGTGATGTCCTTCCATACCCTAGAGTACTTGTAGGAGGATTGCATAGGAGGATGCCAACACTGAACTTCAATTTTATACTTACAACAAAGAACTTTCCTCCATAATGCTAAGCTTTGATTTCCAAATTTCCACCACCATTTTAGAAGCAAGCATGCATTAACATCCCTGATCCTTCTGATACCCAAGCCCCCTTGGGCAATACTCTTTGTGACCTCAATCCATTTTACCAAATGAATTTTTCTTTTTAGGCCATCACCACCCCACAAGAAAGCAGCCTCAATCTTTTCAATTTCACGGGCCACACCTTCAGGCATCTTGAATAGGGAAAGGAAAGATAGTACACAGGGAGACTCGAAAGGATAGACTTGATCAAGGTTAACCTCCCAGCGAAGGACAGCATTTGCCTCTTCCAGCCTGAAAGCCTAGATCTAATTTTATTAAGCACAGGCTTCGAGGTTGATTTTTTACCCGGATTGGCTCCTAAAGGTAGCCCCAAAAATTTCAGTGGCAAGCTTTGCACCTTACAGTTCAAGAATCTGGCAATTGCATTTAGAGACTCATCATTCATACCTACACCACATACAACACTCTTATGATAATTTATTCTAAGCCCCGAAAGGACTTCAAAGCATCGAAGGAGTCTTTTGACAATCACCACCTGGTCCATATCAACCTCGTAGAAGAAAATTGAGTCATCAGCAAATTGAAGGTGAGATAAATGAACCTCCTTAACCCCAACCAAGACACCATGAAGGATGCCAAGATGCAGTGCTCTATTCAGGAGAATATTAAGCCCCTCGGCCACTATATTGAAGAGGAAGGGTGACAATGGGTCACCTTGTCGGAGCCCTCTTTGCGGAGAGAACTCATTAGTTGGTGAACCATTGACTAAGATGGAAATTCTGGATGTAGATACGCAGGTTTTTATCTAGGAGATCCATTTAGCCCCAAAACCAAAGCTAGACATCAAAGAGAACAGGAACTCCCAGTTTACTGAATCGAAAAATTTCTCAAAATCTAGCTTGATGATCAACCCTTGTTGCTTAGCCTTCTTCCAACCATCTACTACTTCATTAGCAATAAATACCCCATCAACGATATTCCTTCCCCATATGAAAGCGGTTTGAGAATCATCGATAATGGAGGGCATCACAGACTTCATTCTGTGCGAGAGAACCTTAGCTAAAATCTTGTATATAGAACTCACCAAGCTAATGGGTCGGTAATCTGACAGATTATTAGGATTTGGAGTCTTAGGGGATAAGTGTAATCAACGAGCTGTTGATGCCATAAGTAAGTCTGCTGTGGTTGTGAAAATCTTGGAAGAATTGCATGAGCAGTTGTTTCATTATTCTCCAAAACTTCTTATAGCATGGGAGGTTAAACCCATCTGGTCCGGGAGCCTTGTTGCTATTGCTCTCTTTAATGGCAGCCCATACCTCTGCTTCAGTGAAATCAGATACAAGATGATGGGAAATCGTGTCTTCAATTAATCTGAATTCCCCTCCCAATACAGGCCTCTTGACCCAACATTCCTTGGAGTGTTTCTTGAAGTGAAGGAACACCTCAAGTTTAACTCTGCTCAGTTCCTCTAAAGACATACCATTTACTGAGATGGAATTTATCATGTTCCTATTATGTCTGGTACTTGCAACAACATGAAAGAACCTAGTATTTTGTCCCCCTGCAGAGACCAGTTCATTCGGGATTATTGATGCCATAACCACTCCACCTTCCTATAGAGTTTCCACACTTCACATCTTACTTCTCTTCTTCGAACCATTTCTGATTGAAGCAGTATTCTTTCCTCTGCTATTCTGTCAAAGGCATGCAATTCCTCCTCTGTTGCCTTGAGTTTAGTGGTAATATTACCAAACACTTCAGTGTTCCAAACCTTTAACTCCATCTTAAGATGCCTGAATTTTTGCTGGATTATGAAGCCTGCCCAACTAGAAACAGTAGAATTCTCCCAGCAGAAACTGAAAAAATGAGCGAAATTGGGATGCAAGGTCCAAGCATTAATAAACCTGAAGGGCTTAGGGCCCCAATCTCTTTCATCTTCCATCATCAATAGAAGGCAATGATCTGATATTAACCTAGGCAGGCCCCAGAGCTTCATTTTGAAGTAGACCAACCATTCTGGACTGAGCATTATTCTGTCAATTCTACTCTATTTCTGGGCCTCCTAAGAGTTACACCAAGTGTAGGACCGACCAAGAAGGGGCAGGTCACTCAATTCGCATTTGTCTATAAACTCATTAAGATGGTGCATTCCCCTATCTCTTTTGACACATCCAACTCTCTCCCCCATGTGCCTTATTTCATTAAGATCACCAGCCAAGCACCAAGGGCTAGGGAAGGAATCCTTGAGCTTAAAGATGGAATTCCAAAGAGTGGATCGACTACTAACATCATTAGGAGCATATACATTGAGAAGAACACAATCAAAGGAGTTGCAGAGTGTACCTGAGAGGTGAATAAACCTCCTGTTGCAGCAGCTCCCAATTAGTTGGAAAACAGCCGGATCCCAAATGCAGAGGAGCCCTCCTGCAGTACCAACAGGGTCTACTGACATAAACTCCATCTTTCTATTTCCCCAAAGCCCACGAGCAACAAACTCTGAAACTATTACTTTCTTAGTTTCTTGAATGAAAGCAACATCAATATGTCTATCTCTCAAAAGACGTTTGATTCAGCCCCTCTTTTCGGGCTTACCAATGCCTCTGACATTCCAAGAGAGAAACTTCATAGAGACCAGACGATGCACTGTGAGGCCCCCGGACGCAGCAATCACAGCTTTGCCGAGCCCACTTCATTGATTCTCACTTTATCATTAAGTTCAAGATCAATAATTTTGTCCATCACAGCAACTTCTTTACCCTTAAAATTAATACCAAGCTGCTCCCCCAACTTAATGGTTGCTTTAGCTTCTTTGAGAAGGAAGCTGCTTGAGCTGGATTTTCCTTCGGACAGATCTGATTGAGCAAAGGCAGCAGCAGCAGATCTGAGAGTAACAGACTTGGATGAATGTTTAATAGTGGTTGCAGCTTTCTGGCCATAAAGCCTAGCAAAACGAAAGAAATCCTCCACATGAGCCTTCTTCTTTCCAGATTTCTTAACCTTCCGAAAGGGATTAAGGGTGAAAGAAGATGATCTATCGAGGCTTTGATCCTTAAGACCCAGAGTGCCCAATGAAGATGGGCTAGCAGTAACATTTGGGCCAGAGACTGGAGCATGACAACTAATAGGCCTAGTGGCAGGGCATTCAGGCCCTGAACTCTTTGCATACCATATGGTTGGGCTGGATCCACCTCAAGAGAAATACCAGGCCCAAAGTCATCCTTTGGTCCACTTAGACTTTTGTTGAAGCCAGGAGATAAAACTTCCTCAGCACTCCTTAGTGGGTCAATGAAGTTTTTTGGGTAGGGTGCTAGCTCCCCTATCATTGCCACCATTTCTCCTACTGCACTAGCATGACAGAGCTTCCCCTCACACAGCGTCTCTTCTGCCTCTGTGACCACCAACTCCCCACTGTAGCACTGGTTAAGTCTCTTCCTGAATGCTTCCTCATTGGGACCAGGAACCACTACACCAGCTACGTTCTCACCTAGCTGCCTATCATAGCCGGTCTCCGCAACCACTGTATCCTCCTTTTCACCACTGTTGCACTGTGTGAGCCTCCGATTACCATGTGCCATTGCAGCATCATCAACCTTCTCCTCTCCGAACTTCTGTGGAAAATTAATTGGCCCCACTCCTACAATGGAGTTACAATCATCATGCTCAGTGTGTGAGCTGGTAGGAAACTCAACTGTGTTGACCAGGTGATCCTCATACACAAGGATAGGATGAAGTAAGCCCTTGCACTCCAAATTTATTGTTGAAGAGATAAACCCCATGCAGGATGTCACCACTTTAATCCTGGTAGAGGAG